CTTCAACACCTATTCTGTAAGAAATAGCAGGCCTTGTAGGCCTTCCTTCACATCTCCCCCTCTTTTCTTATTCGTTTTTTAAGGAGGAAATGAAAGACAGATGAGGCCAAAAAAGAACAAGGTATGCCTCCTCCTTTCAGTTAAATTATCAAGAATTTCCACCCCAGCCACAAAAAGCCTTGTTCAGTACACTTTTATTGTAATGAGTTTTTCACAGGAATGCACAATAGCAAAATATGCAACACGGACATTTCAGTTTCTCAACTCACAGACTCAGTTACAGCCTAGCAAAATATTTCCAGTAATGTAACAAATATGTTGTGCAAAATATTTATTTGTGTGGGTATTTGTGTGCACTCGTGAACAAATACAGCATACAACAACTGAAAATAATTAAAAGGTTAGGCATCCAAGTTTAATAAATAGCAGAATGATGTGTAACCCTAATTCAGCCTCCATTTTGTATGGATTATGATGTTAATCTTCCTTACAAAGAAACCTCCTCCCACAATCAACGGGCCATCGCTATATATTAATATTTAACCCCCTTCAAGCACTCCTGAAAAAATGTTTTAACTAAACAGTAAGACATCTTTTAACATTTCTATTCCACCATCTCTGTTTATGAAACACACTAAATTAGCTTCATTATTACAGCCTGTACAATGAAATTAGGTTCATAATTACTGCTACTTTGCTAAAGATTACACTCAGAATGGTCATTTAGCATCTACTCATTTTGGGTATTCACCTAGAAATGTCTCAAAATGTGGTTTTACTTGGTACTTAGGATTATATTTCACATCTTAAATTAAAGCCACATTTCTAGTCTATTTCAGCAGGAGCTGCGCATATGCAAGACTTACTTCCAGTTATTTGTTTTGTCCATCCTCAAAACCTAGGCAAACAGATCAGGAAATAAGACTTCTCAAAGGTACGCAGCTACAAAGACCCATTCAGCCACTCTGCTAAGAGTCTAGAGTAAATCACTTTAAACAGAGAGCATCAAATTGCCTTAGACCATTAAGTTGTATTTTCTTTTTTCTTTTCTTTTTTAATTTTCTCTCTTTTATTTTCTTTTCTCTTTTCTGTCTCACTCCCTCACAGATTTGAATCTCTAGAACAAGTTAGAAGCCCAGGGAGGTGTTTTTCTATTCAACATAATCTCACCACTAGGACAGCAATTCTATATTGCAGACTTAAAGCCAACTTCATAAAAGCTAACTTCTGAATGTTGGACTTAAGATGTAATATCTTCAATGCAGGAGGTTGAATGGGATGATTCTAGCTGGGACATTCAAAAAGTGAGATCTTAAGTTCACTTGTACTGAACTTCACTATTCACTTTCCTGGAACTACTTCTGCTCATGCTAATCGTGAAATAATGGGGGATGAAAGGGCAAAAAAACCCCCATACTGGCTGGTTAACTGGCTAATACTGAAAGCAAAAGAATCACAATTTAGACTTTCACTTCAGATTCTACCATCAGAGGCAAAAATGTATGTTACTTTTTCGCTACCTGCTACCCTAAACCAGACACAAGCAAAAATGTACTTTTGTAAGTGCCACAGTAAACATTAATACCAGAAGACGAAAATCCCATCTCTTTCCTCTCTCATGTATGTGTAAATACATGTGTACACACATGCCTTTCTAAAACAAAAAATCAAATCTAATCTTTGATTTATAGTTTATATGCTGCAAGTGAATTTTCAGTTCAAGCTAGCCTTTTTTTTAACAAATATTGCCCCTGTGATTAACCATTACCTGTATAGTCCTTGTTTGTTATTAAGAAACTACCCCTGCCTATAGCATTTATACAGCTTCCAGGTACACCAGCAGCTGATTTTCTCAATAGTAAAGACTGCTTCACTGTTTGTATAGCAAAACAGATCTTAAATGTATTATGCCACAGACTATAGCTAGGAAAGTGTTGAACAAACAGAAACACATTGAGGCCTTTTTTCCAGAGGTAAAGAAGAGACATCTAGCAGACATGGTGAGTGCTATGAACAGATGCTAGGTTTTTTAACTACTGTATCTATTGAATACAATTTTATCAAGCTTCTGTTAATGAACAACAAAATCAAACATAAATCATATTTGTTTTGCTAGGGACTTTGTGCTTCAGCAGGAACAGGAAACTCTCCAATATGCACAAATGCCTAAATCAATTGTATTACCTACAATAATTAACTTCCCGTGAACAGTTTATCTTCACCAAGCAGTGACTCTGTTTCAGAAACAGAGGAATAATGAGGTCAGTTTCATTTAGGTAAGCTCAATTTTAACACTACGGAGATTTAGCTCTGTCTTCATGCTAAGTGGTGCTTCACTTTGTGATGGTTACTACTTATTTTGATATATTTACATTGTTTATTAATGTGCCTCTGATAACTGAAGGTGATGAAACTGAAAATTTAACATAAAAGCAATGATAACACCTGCAGGTGCCCGTATAATGAAGTTGCCTGTATGTAGCAGGAAGTACCCTATGCCCAGGCAATCATGTGAGAGACACATTATTAGCAGGCAGGTTCTTTCACATGGTGGGCTTTTCTGTTCTCCTTTTTTGAGGCCAATAGATTTAATACTACTCACATCAGAATCTGTCTCTGACCATGCCTCTACCTCCTAGATTTGTAAGGATATCCAGCTAATAGAATAAATTAACAAGTATTTCAGTATTAGTGAAATGACAGTGTTTATACTTCAGTTACCTGAAATAAACAAGGGTAAAATTAAGTTGCTACAACATAGTGAGTCATCAAAGAAAAAAACATGCAAGATAAAAGACAGAATTACAGAAAAATTGTTGAAGCATTATCTTCAGAGCAAATCAAAGTCTGAATTTACTGACCAACAACTCAGCAGCAACAGAACTTATAAAAAACCTGAGTTTTGGTGGATCTGTGTTTTGTAGGTCAGCTTATCATACAGAGTATGTCATGCCAGGACGTAAAGGGAAAAAATTATATTTTAAGCTTTACCTCAGTGAAAGTATGTATTTGCTTCTGTGCAACTCCCTCCAAACTATAGAGTTTTCCTGTCCTTGTTCAAATTTGCTTGATATTGGCTATCTCACTAAAATTACTTGAGGAGATGGACAAACTGGCAACACAATTACAGAAAGCACTTTGCCCTACAAAACCAAACTCCAATTTGTGTGTAATTTTCATAGGCACATTTTACCACACCACTTTCAGCTCTTGGTATTCCCAGTGTATCTTACCAGGTACTCATGCACTTGTAGGACCAAAACCCACCTAAAACAGCCTCTCACCTTTCCCTTTTGGAGACAAAAACAAAACTAAACCTGATCTGATTTTTCAATTTGCTTCTTTTGCTTGCACACATGTAATTCAACTGAAGTTAGAGCTTTATCAATGTAAAATTGAAGCTAGGCTCCTGTAAATGATGGGAGAGTTTATCTTAAACTAACTTAAAATATGGAATAAAACTCTCTCAAAGAAACTACTGTGTTTTAATATCCTACATTATGAACCCATGTAATTTCAAATGGACAAAACAATGAAGTGTGTTTCCACAAAAACAGATTAGATGAGGTTGTATACTAAACAGCGGTCTCAACAAACAAGACTGCATTGTAGAAATGTGGCTTTGAAATACATTTCAAAGACAAATAAAAGGGTTTTTAAAACCAGGACCTTGTTTCAACATTTTGTTTCAAACATTAAAAAATTCAGTAAGACTCACAGATCACAAGTTCATCAACCAAATCCTAATGCACTTAATTAGTTAACAAAGGCGGAGCAGCTTTTCAGCATAAAACTTGATCTTCATTTACAAGTAGCTAGCTTACTCTGTTCTGGAACAGGCTTAAAAGAATATAATTGTATTTCTTTCTTTAAAAATCCACCTTGAATTGACTAAGGTTAATTTTCAGATATGGAAGTGTAAATACTATCTCCAGTAGTTTAAAGTACTTTCAGTCAAGACACTGTTACAGAATCACAGAATCACAGAATGGTGTGGGTTGGAAAGGACCTTAAGATCATCCAGTTCCAACCACCTGCCATGGGCAGGGATGCCTCACATTAGACCCAGAAACTAGGCTGTATGTAACTGTAACTTAATTATTTGAGTTAACTCTGCAATATGGCATATAGAAAATTTAACCCTTACGGAAAATGTTAGCAAAAACTCCAAACACTGTCCTAATCTTTTGCCTCATCAAAGGCAAAAGGAAATCTGCATTTAATTTATTTTGAATAAATTAAATGTCTGAACCATGTTTGAACCTCAACAGGGTCTTCTCATTTATATCAAGAAAAATCTTGATACTAAACAAATATTTATCAAATGCCATATGACCCACAAAAACAAACGTACAGTCTTATTTTAACATATCCCCCAAACCTACACAACATTCAGCATATTTCTAGAAGCTTTAGAAGAGTCATGGTTTTTTTGTCCTGCAACTAAGTACTACACACATTTTTGCACAAGTTATGTGCATATGCACATATACACAAATGTAGTTAAAAATAACTCAGTATTAAACATTAGCTGCACTCAATCCAGCACATATACAACCAATACTGAACTGTAAAAACATACTATTCCCTACTACATACATAGTAATACAAAATGAGAAGGGGGAAGAACTAATAGCAGACAGTCACATATAGAATCTAGAGCAGTTACATACTATAGGACTACTTCTTCATATCCATCCTTTAGGATTGCACTTAGAGATAAACCACAAACTTCTTTAGCAAATTAAACCAAGAACAGGAAAACCTAATGAGATTAAAATGCTCTGAAGAATTTTATCTACACAGCTAGAGATCAATGGTAGACTATTTTTTTAAATTATTTCTTATATATCATTCAATTCTATTAGCTGTATAGAACATTGCAAGTTGCATCAATTAAACAATAAAACCTTCATAACTTATTAACAATCAGGATATAATTAATCAGTATTTTACATCAGTGTGTCCTGTACTTAACAGAGAAATAAACAAGTACATACTCTGCTCCAAAATCTCTTCTTTTTTCGCTTGCTTCAGCAAAGAACTTTTATCACTGTCCTTGGTTTCTGAAAAATGGATTTAGGATATGATGTTAAACTCTGTGTGTGGATGGAATTTAGTATCTTCTGACTGGGAAAGAAAAGTCCTTCTGAAATGAACATTTGATATTTTTATCTATCTACAGTAGTTGTACCAAACAATGCAGCAGTGAAACAACTGGAATGAAAAATTGAGATTTATATTTTGCTACACAGACACACCAGTCAGATTACTTCTGGGTAATACTACTGCTAGAAATTAAATGCCTGCTGGTGTTCAATATAAACATTTGATTCCTTCCATAACAAAGCAGGGGATGCAGAAAACTATGGAAATGTTATGATTCAATTTTTGTAGGAAACAGAAGATAAAGCAGATACTAACAAAGTGTTAATATAAAGTACTGATATTTAGCATAGAAAAGAGGTCAATCTTTTGGGTACACGGCTCACATAACTATAAAAATATGTTGGAAATTGAAAGATGACAATAGAAAGAAACATACAAATGACTATGACAAATACTTCCAACAAAAACAAGAGCAGAATCCCGTGATGGTATATAATCAACGACTTGAATTTTATTCAGAATTGCATCATATAAATGAAAATTTAGTATATCAAAGCAACATAGACAAACGCATCTGTGAGCAAAAATGACTTGAATAAAATGGATTTTTTTTTTAAGTTTTATGAGTTCTTTTTCACCTTCATGGTGTCCATGTGTCATCTTGAGCATATCAGACATGATTTGAATAGGGACATTTGCCTCCTGTGGTATATTTCTGAACAACTCAGGGTTTGCATTCTGTGTGCAGGTCATATATGAAACTGCATGCTTGGCTTCCATATAGTACATAATGTAAAAATTACACATCTCATCATTGGCTGTTCCCCTACATAACACAGAAAAGATGTGGCAGTTAGGAAAAAAGGAGCTGGATAGAGCTGCTATTCAATTAATCTAACTTGCTTAACAGAGTATTAAACAAAATGTGGCAATGTCATACTTAGTCGAAGTCCCACACTAAAACATTTAATAGCTTCATTGCAGCGAATATCGAAAACTTCTTTCAGCTTACACTAGACAATACACGAACTCCCCAAGTATCTCAGAAATTCTTAACAATTTGGGTTTGATTCTACAGAAAATTGCATCAACTATTTGATCTGCTCTTCTTTCCATTTCCCTAGTATTATCCTCATAGTACCCAGTGCGTCATCTACTATATACACGTTCTGGTGAAATATGACAGAACTGCACCATCCATCATGCCAGCATTCATACAATCCCCTCTCAATCTGGGGCAAACATAATTTAAAATCATTGCAAATAACATCTATGTTTCATTTCAGCAGATATCTTTTATGACAGTTTTCCCTCCCACATTCAAATGCATCCATTTATTGCCCAATCATACTGTTTCTAATGCGGCAGAACTTAATTTCATTACGTATTAGGACACCATAAATATCTCTTAAAGAGAAGACAGCACTGCAATCTTGAGAAGAACTTGATCACAAGCTTTGTAAGGAAGACATGAGTGCAAGAGGAATGATTAAACACTGGAAAAATTCCGTTCTTTGATAAATGTCCATGCACTTGGAACAGGAGAGGCTCTTCTCTACTGCTACATAATACTGTCTTCAATAGACAAAAAAGCTGGCATGAGAAAAATTTTCTTCTGAAAAATATTACTTTCTGACACAGACAACACAGGGCCTCTCTGCAACTGTGATCTGTTCCTGCTTTTTTCCTCTGCCTTATGGTTGATGTATGTTATTTATAGCTACAATTCTGACAATGGAATAAGCTGGAGCTGTAAAGAAAGGTTTGCAAAATAAAGGCTTTTACATTCACATTTTTTAATTAGCTTTCACAATTAACCACTGAGTCTGCATTCATAAAAAGTTACGGGGGTGGCTTATTAGCTGTTTGCAAAAGACGTCAGTGCTGACTTTTCCAGCAGCATCCTGCAGCATTCATTTACTCACCATAGCAACATTAATGACACCAGCCAGAGGGGAGATATGGGGAACATGGGAAAATAGAGTATTTCAGAGGGGAACTGGTATTTTTCCATGCATTGAAAATTTAGCATCCCTTGGAGACCAGAAAAATCAGACTCTGACTGGGCAAGCTCCGGTTAGAAAGCACTAACTTCACTGTTGGCCTCCCAGTATCTGTTACTATAATTGCTTCCTCTTTAAAACTCTAGTAGAAAAGGAGATGTGGAACCCACATGAACTCTGGTTCACCTGACAAGTTACTGTGTCTAAAAAATACAAAGTTTGTCCTTTTAAGTATTTACAGTTAAAAAAAAAAGAAAAAAACAAACTCCATCAACAACAGTTTTAGTAAATTCACAGAAAACTCAGAATCCTTCTATTAGATATCTGAACTCCTGAGAAACTCTGTTTCATGAACAAATTTAATCTCTCTACTGAAATGCAATATTGGGGTGCTCAGTGCATTAAATGTCTAATCCCTTGGGGTTCTGCAGCACATACTTCCAGAACAGAGAGATTGTTCTGCAGAGTATCTTCATTCTTCATATATGCAGCAAACTCTACTGCAAAGAACTGAAGCCACTTAAGACAATATTTTTTTAATATTGCATCTATTTTTATAGTTACATTCGTCAACTTCATCTTACAGAACTCTGCCTGTCATCTTCAACTGACAAACACAGTTCAGGTTTTCCTATTGATCATTATTAGTCATTTATGGCTTTCTTTGTTTTGATAAAAGCATGTATATTTTTATATTGAAATAATGGTAACCCATATATTAGTTCACATTTTTTAAGTCAGATTTTATGATGGCTCAAAATTTATCAGAATTTTATAAATTTCCATTAATTTTCTTCTGAAATAATGAAGAGAAATTGTGATGCTTTATTGTTTTGCCTTAAACAGTCAGTAACTTCAGCCTACTAAAATTTTTTTAGACTTGATGACTCCTTTAAGTGTACGTCAGCCCAACATCTGAGTAAGGTACTTGGTAGCATGGCTTCTGAACACTCCACCAAAGTGAGGGCAATGAATGTTATGTAGAGTTAAATATCTAGCAGACTAGATAGCAAAACAGAACATTCTGGCAGAATTTAACAATTGGAATTATTCTGAAAGGAGACATGAAACAAGTATATTTCTAAACATAACCAATGACATGGAGCAAACAGAGAAAATTTACCCTATGTGCGTCTCTGTAGTTCTGCCTTCACCACTGAAAACACATCTAGCTGCTAGGGTATCATCATAGCTAACTTCCACAGGACGTTCTACTGGATAGAATGCCTGAAAGAGAGGGTGAGTCACCCTAATCAGTAAAAGCATCTCATATTATTTACATCAACACCCACACACAAGAATAACTGCTACACATCTGAAAGGTAACTTCAGGATGGTTGTGCATTGTAATGTAACCATGATAATGCTCAGCAATATTCACTTTCTACTGGCACAACATGTACCACTGGAAACACCATGAGGTATATCTATGCGTACATGACTGTCAATTCATCTTCCTGGTTTTAAATAAAGATAAACAAAATTTATAGTTAGAATTAAAAAAAACAACCAACCTGTGGTAGTTGTGGACTCTGTCTACCAATCAATGTCCATTGACCATTTCTCACTCTGTATCCACTCACTACTTTACCTATAACATACCAATATGTATGTGAACAAGCGACATCTAAAAAAAATATGCTGTAGTGTCAGCATTTTTCTGTTAAGCATTTGGTATTCCCATGTTGCAATAAAACTCTTACCTAATCTGTGTGTATGAACTCTGTAGGCAAAAAGGTGCATTGGAAACCTTTTGTAATGGCAGGCAATGTCTGCATCAACAGCTGTTAAAATATGATAGCAATAAACAAAGAAAAAAAACACATTAATTATTAGAGAAAAGGTACACTAAGGTACTTCAGTCACTTGAAAAAGACCTTCTGTGATGATGTACATAAAAAATGGGACTAAAACTTAGTAGTATTTTTTCCAGCATATGCTGCTGCTATCTAACAAAGTAACACGCTTACAGACTATGTAACACTTAAAAGAGGAACACGTAAAATAAACATAGCTATAGTAAACAGTCTACTCTAGAGAAAATGAAAATAAACTGGTATCATTCTAAAATTATACAATTTATAATTAAGTCTTGATTGTAAGATCTTATAGTTCTAGGCCCAGTTCTAAAGATTTAGGGTTAGATGCAGACTTTGGCAGAGAAGGGCTATACTTGGCACTATACTAGTGTTAGGAGCCTACAGAGAATACTTCCGCTGGTGCCTCTCTGAGACTGGCTGGCTGAGATAAATGCAACCAGAGAGACTGGCTGCATTCTTCCTTTTATAAAAAACTTCATGATCTTCTGCAAAACTGCAAGTTTGATTGAGCAGGCACAGAATCTTATTTCCCTTTCCCTCCCCCCTTCAACTGAAAAAGTAAGTATCTGCAATGATCAAATATCTTTTAGGAGGGATAAGGAGGGTGGTTTCTTTTGATGTTTTCATACTGAAGAGCAAATTCTGTTAAGCTTCAAATCAAATTGAAAAAGATTTCAAGTGGCTGAAGTCACTTAACAGTTGAAGTCAACTGGGCATTTGACCACCTCATCCTATTTAGGCAGCTAACTGCAAATGGGAAAAATAGTGTTCTCACATATCTTATTAAGAATGCCAGTTTAGCATAGGCAAATACAGAGTCAGTGCTCAAACTCCTTAAAACAAAACATTCCGTGCTAGCTTCAAGAAATGCTATTGGGACTATACAAGCTGAGCCTCAGGTAAAATCCACTGAGTAGGATTTGTTTGGGAACATTGTTGTACAGTGTTTTTTCAGCATTTTGACCTTTTAACCACGTAGGAACATATGAATAAATTCTTTAAGGAACAGTTCCTTACTGGTAGAAATTAATTTATTAAAACTGAACTCTTGGTAAACCACTAATAGCATGATTGGCAAATACTTACGAGTAACAGTCCAAAAAATTGTACGGTGTTTTCTTTTTGGTTGTTTTTTCGGGTTTTTTTTTTTTTTTTTTTGTGAGATGGAGTGAATAAGAAAATGAATAGTGCTCTTTTTTGTAAAATATTAAGACAAAAATAAAATACTCATAAGATTTCTAGAAATGTATTGCACAGATCGTTATTGTTCTGTACACTGTCTTCTACAACACTGATCACTTTTGCTGATGTAGTTATCAGAAAATATGATATAATTTTAGAATTATAACTATTTTTGTCATCATTTGTTTAATTTGTCCATCTACAATTCAGTGAGTCTCTGCTACATTTTCTTAGGCAATAAGCAGTAAAAATAAACCAGATGCTAAAATTACATAATCGCTTTGTAGAATTACAACTCACCTTTCTCGCCTGGCGGTATTACAGTGTTCACAGACATCATAAGATACATTCCGGCAATCAAAGGCTGCCTGCAATTCAAAACTCAAGCTGTGCTAATCAAGTCCTTTTCAAAACATGACTGCAAGTGACACAATATGCAGTAGTATTTACCACCACTAATTTCTAAATAAACTATGTCTGAAACTGGTCTACTGAGAAAGCAGCTGAAACACAGCACTTCCCTTTCCTTACTGTTTTTCATACAAGCTACAAATCTTTAAGCATCTACAAAACATGTGAAAAACAACATGACCACCTACACAATTCATGTCCCAGATTTCTAAATATGAAGTTCTTAAACTGGATTAACTCAGTACTGATAGCCCTATTTCATCAAGTTTCTTAGCAGAAACAAAAATTTTTGCCAACAAATGACACATAGATTCAAAATTCTTAATATTGTGATGTCTGTATTATTTTTATTTTACATGTTTTCAAAGGAATCTAAAGGAGGCCTTTCCATGTCTTCTGTTCCAATGAAAAAAAATTGTAACATTTAAGTATTTTCAGAAATACTTACTTCTGATGTGTCAGATGTAAAGTTACACCAGAGCAGTCCTTGTGTTTGTCTGTACAAGTCACAAAAAGGTTTAATCATTTACAACTGAACCCATACAAAATTATTACATACTAGTAACATTATTCTGCCGTATAAAGAATACCAGAAGACAAAATAAGTTTTAATCTTATTGTTTGCAGTAGAACTTTCACACTATGAAAACATGACCCAAACTTGCAGAAATCTGAACGCAATGCTGCATTTGCAGCAAAAACCTAATAAAGAAAGAAACTAGTGGATGAAAAACCGTTTTTTTGGCATTAGATACTGTAGATCTTTATGAAATAGCATCTGTGAGACGAAACAGCATCATTTTTACAACAGCAGAAAAAGCTGGTTTGCTTCAAACAAATCTATTTTGAGAAAAGCTAGAAAAATTAAAAATTTGTGGAAAAGTAATGGTTTCAGCCATTAATAACAAACCAGCCAGAAATACTTGCAATAAAATCACCAGGTGATTTTGAGATACCAATACAGAGAGCAGCTCTGTTCAACACTGGACATCCCAGAAGGACAGTAAAACAAGTTAATTGATTTGTTAATGTACTGTACCAGCATTATTTAATGTGTTTGACATTTTAATTTAAATATACTAAAGACTTGAAAGTTACTCTGTTTTAGTTGGTGATCTGGAAGTTCAAACTTAATTTTTTTTCCAAGAAGTTCCCTTTCTTACGTTTATACCAAAACAGCTCTAGTTAGAAGACAGATGTAACGCCAAAGCAGGTAAACAGAAATTGCCAAAAAAATACCCTCTAACAATATATGCTTCAGGTAAGAAAGAGAACACAGTAGCCATGGGTCTGCTGACAAGTGATAACTTGGGAGAGATCTTCTTCCATCAGCAGCTAGGTTCAGAACTGAAAACAACATTGCATTTGAACAGAAGAAAGGGTAGTAACTAGAGTGGGACAAAACAGAGCCTTTCCAGGTTAAAAAATACCAGTTTAGTTTTTCAAACATTAGGTATTTTAGTCACACCACATTTCATTATTAAAGGATAATACTAAGTTTGGGTTTTACCACCATTAACACTAGAATTTAATTCCAATATGTTCACTAAGTAGAAACCTACTGTTTTTACAAAATGTATAAATTAGTGCATATGTTAGGCAAGTGAAAAAATTGCTACCCCAGTTTCACTAGGTTCTCACAGTGATCATCATGGCATCTGAGAATTCTTAAGTTTCTCCAGCTCTGTGAGTCCCAACAAACACTTCTGTATTTAAAAATTTGAATCAATAAATCACAGTTGTACTTTTACAAATAACGACGAGAAGGAAAGTCTTCACTATATACGTGAAAGAAAAATTACAACAGTCACTCTTTGACTCTACACTAGTGGGTGGACTACTAAGTACTGCAGATGCACTGAATGTTTGGAAAGCATGCCTCATGAGAATTCTTGAAACCAAGAGTCATGAATCAGAAGAAAAGTAGCTGAAAATTCATTTGGTGATCCAGAAACAGAAGCATATCCATTCAACATAGATGGGATTTCTGATGGGTCTTTGCAAGCTATATGTTATATTGCCCAAAACTCAAGAGAGTTTGGTACCTATATTCTGCATAAAGGATTGAATATGGGTATGGCACAGTAATAACAAATTCACTTGTAATTATACTAGAAGAATTTTAAGACTATGCATAGGTATAAAAATGCAAAACCAGTCAGTCAGCCACTGTGCTGCTGTACCATCCACATTTTCTGTTTTTAAAAAAAAAACAAAACAATATATTGTAGAAGATATTTTTATTACAATAGCATACAATCCTGTGTATAATTTTTATGCAAACACCCATGTTTGTACAGAAAAATAGTAGCCACTGAAAAATTAAAATAAAATTAAAGCTAAAAATTCTCCAATTTAAAGTCCAATCATTAAAACAGATATAAAAAATAGCCTTAAAATGTCTTTGGTTTTGTTTTTTTTTAAAGTTACTTGTTAAAAAATGAAAAATAAAAAATAGCAAAAAAACCCACATTCATCACATGGTAAGTAAGTAGGGAGGTGGCAGAGACGTAAAGAAAAAGGTTGAGGGAGAGAGAGAAGTGACAAGACCAAATAAAAGACTAAGCTATAGTAGATAAGGGAAAAACTCAAAGTCAAGATATGGTCAGCACTGGCTAAAGACAGGAAGAAAAACTGAAGTTATGCCATGCCAGAATAAGCACTAGTTTTCAATTACAGATAACAAATGTTGCTTCCAAAAGGCCAAGTCATGAATTGAAAAGCACCCCAAGGACTAAGTTATGAGGACAAAAGTAGGGAAATGATTGGAAAACATTCAAGAGAAAGAAATTCAATTCTTTGTCCATGGTTTTAGAAAAATGTTCAAGATACGTATATACTGTTCATCCTCCTCTACTCTTCACTGTAGGAAGCTTCATTACAATCTCAATACAGGTCTTTGTGAAGTCTCTTTTGCTCCACAATCCTTGTTTGAAACCAATTTTTTGACTAAATTTTTGGCTATTCATATAACACAGGTGATGCAGAATTCAGCTTTATCAGTTTAATGCCGTTAGAGAGTTTGCACTACATAAATTTTAATGGAAGTTGGGAAATGCTTGCTTCCTCAGAACATTTTATTTTATTACCTAATGTCATTTAAAATTTTAAAATTTAAAATGCAATCAATAGTTTTGTTTCTCTCAGTTTTGCAATTTGCAGTTGAGAATATCATCACCCTATCTTTTAAACACTGTTGAAAAACTATCCCAAAACAACAAACCCAAACCTAACATATGCCAAATATTAGTTGTGTTTGAAAAATATAACCCTTACTGTGTCATTGAGTCTTTCTTTTAAAACAGCACTGTGAGAGGAAGGAAATTACTCCAATATATTTCAGTTTGCCAGTTTTAAAGTGTTTTCACACTATTTAAATTTTCAGACTACTGAAAAAAATTTCATTATTTAAATCTAAATTGAGTAATTTCAAAATGAACTGAAGACAGTGGGAAATTTATCATTGCAACTATACAAGGCAATCATATTAATCATATTATTATATGAGCCTTGGGTGACATTGTTTAGTATGAGGTGTCCTTGCTCGTGGCAGGGGGGGTTGGAACTAGATGATCTTAAGGTCTTTCCAACCCTGACTATTCTATGATTCTATGATATTATCAGGAGAAACAAATCAACTTCTGATCTCCAGTGCTGTGTCCAGAGTAAACTAATAGACATACATTGGTGTAGGCTTCTAAGAAATTCTTGCACCATATTATAATTTCGTCTACGGTTATATATAGCCATGAGTGAGCTAAACTTTTTTCTAACAGTTACAGAAATATGACTGAAATGCTGTTTCCTTGCTTCTACTCTACAGCTGACCTCCTTGAAAGACTGAAAGCTGCTGAACCATCCATCCAAGAATGCTGATTGCAGTGAGGCCATGCTTTTTCCCCATGCAAACTCTTTCAAAACTTTACTGTGTGACTGAAGCAAAAATATCCTTAATGCACAAACCAAGCAGAAGGTGACCCACCTGGCTGAGGAGGGAAATACAGCAGACATTGTCTATCTGGACTTTAGTAAAACATCTGACACTCTCCCACAGAATCCTCCTGGAGAAACTGGCTGCTCATAGCCTGGAAAAGTGTATTCTTCAAAGAAATGGCTGGATGGCAAAGTGCAAAGAGTGGTGGTAAATGGTGTCACATGTGGTTGGCAACTCAGGGCTCGGTACCAGGGCCTGGAGGTGCTGACTGATGTTGCTGAGCATAAGCCAGCTTGTGTCCAGGCAGCCAAGAAGGCCAATGGCATCCAACCTAGTTTAGTATGTGATTCCATGAAAATCTTAAAGATTCCTTTCAAGTCTGGCAGTCCAGCTGACTGGAATTATTTTGATTTCTTTGTTTCAGGTATTCAGCAAATACGCACTGCTCTGAGACAAGTTACTAGTTACTACTTGCCAGCTGGCAAAGACTGGGAAAAGCGTCTTTATATACCTCAGGAACAGGTTCTGTGAAAGCCAATTGTCAAGGCAGTTTCCAACCCAGATGAAACTACAAGGTATGCTTATGACTGTGTTTTGTGTGGTGTGCAAATATAACACAATCATATTAAATATTCCCTGATTTTATTTACCTCTGTAATCCAAAATCAATACTGTATGTTAAACGCTTAAATTAGTTAAAAAGAATGACCTGTGCTGCTCCTCCTAAATCCTGTTTTCTAGGAGAAATATATGAAATACTAGAAATAGTTTGTCAAATGGAACATTCATAACTGAGGAGAAGCCAAATTATCCTAAAAATAAATGCTCTTTCTGTAGGCTGATTTCGATAAAACTTCCAATCCAAGTGTAACAGGCTTCCTGCCAGTCTGTCTATCTCTTTAGTCACATGTATGATAATCTGACATGGAAGCTGAGACTTCTAGGGCTTCCTAGATACTTAAAATTCTGTGTGGTTTTTTACTTAGAAAAAGAAATACTTCTCAAAAGCTTTTTTTTTTTTTTGCCTTTTTTTTTTCACTCTGGGTACATGTAATATAAATTACAGGGCACGATGTTCAAACCCTTTATTCATTTTTTTCATTGCTCTATTTCTAATACTTAATAGAAATAATACAGTACTTATACGTGGCTACTAGAATACTTAAAAGCTTTCACTGTAGCAGAATGGTCCTTTTCTTTTCTTATGAAGTTCCAAACCCCTTGTTATTTCAAAGTCAGCCCTTTGATTTGTACCAGAATATCCATATATGGTGTCAGAATTGGCTTTGTTTCATTAAAATTAGAAGCAGACTCAAAGATGGAGCACAACCTCTGAGCAAGGCAATTCCAAAGCTAATGCCCACTGGGAATTAATTTTACACCAGTTATATTTAAAAAGACAAAGACATGTAGCACAAAATTTAACTTGAAGTCTTGGTAAAAAAAGAGACCAATTCATTATGCTGCTTTCAGTATTTGATACATAAAAGAAGACTAGCTGAGTCAGGTTTTTTTCATGAGAGTCAAGGTGCTTGCTTCTGCTAATCTGCTCACTCATCCAGAATCTCAGCAAAATTGTTTTAAAAAGTCTAGTAACATGAAAATGAAACTCTACCTTTATTCTATGAAAAACAAAATGCAAGCACAGACTCCCTGGTGCCATTTTCACAGCTTTCCAAATAGAAAAGAGGTGAACAAATGTTGATCCTGATGTGGTATAATTTTTTCTAGCAAATACCTCGTACAGGTCACAGATGACTGACTTCCTGAAAGGAAATCACAACGTCTCATAGACATGAATATTCAGGAGTATGCAGAATTAATTTTACTCAAGGCACCAATGTTAAGCCTTCTGGTTATCAAAGAGAAGCACATGGCATCCAGTACTCAAAATAAGGTAATTATTTTTCATTTTAAAAATAATATATCGGATTATCAAGTAAAAGGCCCTGAAATAAAACAGAAGGCATCCTGCCATACTCTTTAACCTTTGAAAGAGTACATGAAATTAGTATCTCCTATATTACAGTCCACACTTCTTAAACTTTCAGAATTTTTCAGGTTTATATCTGTAACACTGATTATTCTAAGCCCTGCACAGATATTCTAGGCAAAAAATAAGAAAAGTGTTGCTGTAAAACTAAGTTTTGACTACCAAGTTAATTTATTAATAAAACTTTCCAAATACATCCTCAACTAATATGCAACAGAGGGTACTCATCTCATTTGTTTCTGTTTTGTTAGTTTTTTTACTTAAGAGCAAAAATGACAGTGAGAACTCTCACTGTCCCCAAGCAATAATGAAGAGCAGCCTTTCAACTATCAAGCTCTCTATAGAGGTTTTTAGCTTCAATTATTTGTGATTTTAGCAGGCAAACAATATCACTGTAATGATCCATCTGAATTGTCCCATGAAAATAAATTCTGTCAACTTCAGTTGCACACATTTGCATTTGTGCTCCACTTAAACAGTGCTGGCACCCTCAGTTTATTCCTTCATTCTCCTTCTCTTCCTCCTTCTCATCACCATAAACGCCTTCATGCTACATTTTATCTTTAAATCATGGTAAGAAACCATACCTTCAACTTCAGACAGTGCTGCTGAAAAATCTTGAGTATTGCTGAAACCTTGCCAGTGGTATCATGGTAGAAAGGCTGCATGGCACCCAGAAGATACCAGCAACAGGCTAATTTCTTTGTCCAAACCAATTACAACATGTTGATCATTTACCATGGTACCACAGAAGAGTTAGGAGGCCGTAAGCATAGCTCAAACTATTGCTGTAATACATATTGCTCCTTTATATTTTTGCTATTACCCAGCTTACTTTTCCTCCCTTCTTTCAAGTCCAACATATTATCACTTAGCCCATGAGGATCTTCACATTCTTGTTTAAATCCTACACAGTAATGCACCACAACCAGGTCTGAAGAGAATGATGACCTACAGGTTTTTTTGTTCTTGAAGGCCAGACAAGCCTTAACCCAGAACCACCACACAGGATGTGATTCACAGAGTGGAAATAACAATTCATGCATCTCAAAGATGTCAAAACAAGACAATTCAGGTTTAAAGAACAAAGCACAACATGAAAGATAAATAAATAAGTAAATAAATAAATAAATGCAATTAAACTTGTCCCCCAAAGTCACAGATAATCAATACCTCAATATGTATTAATGAAATCCAAATTTCAGTAAACCAATATTATAATGTATGGGCCAGATGAGCAGACAATGAGGTAGACTGAAAACTGGCCGAATGGTTAGGCCCAGAGAGTGGTGATCAGTGGTGCAATGTCTAATTGGAAGATGGTAACTAGCAGTGTACCCCAGGGGTCAATACTGTGCCCACTCCTGTTGAACATCTTCATTAATGACATGGATGACAGGACAGAGTTTACCCTCAGCAAGTCTGCACAGGACACCAAACTGAGAAGATGTGCTGATACCCCAGAGGATTGTGCTGTCATCCAGAGGGACCTGGACAGGCTGGAGAAATGGCCCCAGAGGAACCTCATGCAGTTCAACAAGGGGAAGTGCAAAGTCTTGCATCAGGGGAGGAACAACCGCAGGCACCAGAACATGCTGGGTGCAGCCCAGCTGGAAAGCAGCTTGGCAGAAATGGATCTGGGGGTCCTGGTGGACACCAAGCTGAAGATGAGCCAGTGATGTGCCCTTGCTGCAAAAAACCCTAAGAGTGTCCTCAGCCAAACCACTGCCAGCAGGTCAGGGGAGGTGATGTCTCTCTGAGGTGGTGAGGCCACACCTGGAGTGCTGGATCCAGGCCTGGACTCCCCAGTACGAGAGAGACATGAATGTATTGGGGAGTCCAAGGAAGGGCCATCAAGATGATGAGGGGACTGAAGCATCTCTTGTAAGAGGAGACAGCTGGAAATGTTCAGCCTGGAGAAGAGATGGACTTGTGCAAGGAAGAATCTTACCCGTGTACAAACAAATCCTGCAGGGAGGGTGTAAAGAAGACATAGCCAGGCTCTTTTTAGTGGTGTCCAGTGACAGGACCAGAGGAAATGAGCACAAACTGAGATACAGGAGGCTCCTTCTTGTTTTTCACTTTGAGGATGACTGAGGATGGGCATAGGCACTTCTGGAGATATCCAAAAGCTAACTGCAACTGTCTGTTGGTTGCCCTTCTTGAGCGGGTGGAAGATGGATGAGACAACTTCAAGATGTCCCTTCAACCTTAGCCATTCTGCGGTTGTGTGAAACACTCACTGACAACATAAGCATAATACCATGCTTAAAATGAGTGGTTATTTCTTTTTTAAGATGAAAAGACACCATCTGCTAGTTACAACTTTTTCCAAACATAGACAGTGTGACTGGTCCCTGCATGTCATCTTTCTCACCAGCTACTCAAGTAAGGTGACAGGTTAAGGGTGTTCACAGTTACCAGTTTCAACTTTCTTAAAGAAAACTGAATTCAAAAAACTGAATTATACAGGGAAAAACAAGCTTCTCCCCACACTTCAAATTATTGCTTCTTCCTTAAGTCATTTGCTTTATATTTTTTTAAGGAAAAAAACCTGTTCCATTTTTAAATATTTACAGAGATAGAGCAAGTTTATAAAGAAGTCAAGTTAATAGGTAAACTTTATTACAAGTGTGCTTACTGATCTTTACCTTTGTGAGTGACACTCACAAGAAAGTTCTTTTCTACAGGTAATGTAAACATTTTCAATGCTTTAACTGATATAAGTTACAGAACAAATTTCCAAAATACATACCTCTAAATGCACTAATATCTCCATAGTGCACCTGGAGCACAAAAAATCTACCACCTGTTTCTCCTCCAACTCTGAATCCAACACCTAAGAGAAGGAAAATGCATTGTTTTCAGAAGCAATAAAGCGTAAGATGGTTCACCACTGCTGACCATATCTAAAAACATAAATCGCTGTAATGGCTTTGAGTGAAGGGGTAAAAAATTTCACTGAGACAACAGTGAAGAAAACATTGTCCTGAAAACTGGGAGAACGACCACCACAAGACATGTTCCCAAATAGACTAAGAAGCTAAGACTGTAACTTGGGTATTAATGAGCAGATATCTGCTTTAAGCAAAGGATTCTCTCAATCTAAGAATGTGAATACAGATTTGAGGTATATATATGTATATAAACACACTATACATTTGGTTTGGTTTTTTTTTAATTAAATTATCAAGTTCTGCTATCTTTGTAGGATTTGGTAGAACTCTCATTTCTCATGCAACCTGTGAATGGCAAAAACTGATTAACGCTGACTTACTAATAACATACTGAGAATGAAAACATATAAAGATCTGCAGTAAAGTATTCTTTTACATTAATTATGTAAATTAGTATTGTATGCAGAAAAAATCTGGAGGAAATTATGAAGCTATGTTACTTGTTGACAGAAGTAAGCACAGGAACAGAAGAAAACAGAATTAAGAATTAACTTGAAATAACAAAATCGTGAAATATCACCAACAGAATTTCTAAGAACTGATTCTACAGTGAACGCTCTTCAAAAGAAGCAGAGAAAGAAATTTCTTCTTATTTGGTTACTGGATCCAACTGCCCACAGCAAAACCTACTTATAAATCAGACCGCAGACTCTGCATATAAATGTAGAATCATTACCAACCCTCTCCACAAACTTCATATTTGTGGACAGTTTAGAGACAAGAAAATTACTACTAGTTGGTGTTTAATAGCAAAACTTTCATAGAATCCTCCAAGCAAAATTATTTTTTTACTTGACATTCTGATCACCAAATCAAATAACACTTGTGCTGGTAAGTGTATGAACTGATTACTAAAAATAAACCTCTTCATGAGGTTCACTGCTCCCAGTTATGAAGAGGCAATAAAAAAGATCAAATAAAAAATTTGTATAATTCAGTCTTTTCAGACCAAGGCTGCATAGATGATAGGTATTTCTAGGATTCTTAGCATTTATTAGAAAGAACAACCTCTATTTTCTAGACATACCACTACAAGTAGCTTAAAAAAATTCTGATAGAATTCAGCAAAACCATCTATCATACAACAAAATGGGTAAGTAAACATGTTGCTCAAGCACATCAAAGCATGAAGAAATGAAAAGCACATAAAGATGTCAAGCATACTTAAGACACAGAAAAAAAATCAATATTTAGATTGAACTTGTTTGAGCTTTCCCAAAACACACAAAAATATTTTAATGCAGTTTGTGTGCTACTGAAACATAAATAGTATCCTTCCAATAACATACAGTAGGAAATGCAAGACTAATGCTATATAAAAATAAAGCATTATATTATGACCACTATTTCTACCTTAGCCTTTCTTCCCCCCTTTCTTCCCCCCTACTGAAACCCATATTATAGCAAACACGATGAAGAAAAAACCAAACCCAAGTATTATAGCTAGTTTATTTATAGTATATGAGGTTGATGTTTATACAGTTTCGACTAACCATAATGAAAAAATTATACAAGGTTCCTGTATATGCCAGGTGCTTATTTCCACATCTTCTTCTCTCCCTTGCCCCTGGCACACAAGAACTTCACGTTAAAGGCACAGTACCTTCGGGTAGCCTGGTGGGTGGAGCATTTCTTGCCCAAGCATACAAAATATTAGATTTGTCTTTGCATGTTCCTTCATCACAGTCCCTAAAAACATGAGGGAAGAAAACAAAACAGTACATGATTTTTTAATTCTTAAATCAGAAAGGACAGGTCAATTACATGCAAAACCACTAATTTTAAGACCTATCGAAGAGTTTTTGGATGTATGATGATTAAGCCCTTTCAATGTAGGCTGCTTTCTCAGATATCATTAGATCCTCCTTCTTCTTTTGGTTTTTCCCTCCCCTCTGCCTTATGATAGCATTAGGTAAACAGGGCCAAAACTATAGAGATTTGTGGTAGTCCCTATCAAACTAGTAGTTAGTGATGAAAATAAATAATGGAACCTTTTGTGAGAATGAACCGTATAAAAATATCTAGCAGTACTAGCTCAAGTGCCAAAAAATGACAATGGCTGCTACTTTTATGCAGAGGGACTGGACTCGTGCGCAAAGCAGAAAGAAACACACAAGACATCAAAGTTTTAAGTCAGAATTGATATTTAAAATTCATTGAAAAATTACTGACAAAAAAAAGCAGCTATATATGGACCAGCTGGTAGGAAGCACTCACACTCTTCTTCCCTGTACTTAAAGCAAGTTCACTGCTTTAAGTTAATTTTATTCCATTGCACAACTTCTTGCTTTCCATAAACAGAAAAATCACACATACTCACACAAACAAACAAACAAAGACCACAAACGGGTCACAAATATTTACAATAACTGAGAGCTCCAGAGTTGCCCTTAGCCTCTGCAATGCCTTGCAGGCAACCCTAAGAGTGGAATGTGAAAAACTCCCAAAAAAAGATCTAGACACCTTGAACCTGCAAAAACTGATAAACCTGAAGCACAGACACTACCAGATCTGCAAAAGGCCAGTCAGAAACAGTTGTACAGACAACATAATGTCCCTGGACCACAGCCAAGACTGCTACATGTAGGTGTAGGTTACAGGATGATATAAACAAACAAGGATCCCTTGTTTCCAAACACCCACACAGAAGCACTTCTCAATCCTCTATTAGAGGAAAGGGCTATTTAGAGTGTATTTGTACCTTCTTCACTGGCAGAGCATTGTGCCACTGAGCACAGTGTGAAAGTAATTCTGCAGGTGCAGCACACTTAGTATGACACCTAGAAAGCCTCAACCTCAAACTATTCAGACTACACCAACTGATCCCAGCAGGCTGATACCCATGCAAAGACTTCAATGCAAACCAAAATGGTTTACCTCCTCTGTTTATTGCTGCTGGTAAAACCTGGCAGACCTGGGAAAGACCTGGAAAAACACTTTTATACATAAAGAGCAGTTTCAGTCACTTTAAATCCTGGGAAAAATAGTCTCACACAGCGTGAGGAGGAGCATAAAAACATAAAAGATCAGGACTTTTAGTGGATGCAGGTTCAGTAACATTTCTGTTGAGGATGAATGAGCCATATCTGCTACCTTCCAGAATAAATGATGATGATGCTCTCCAGGTGCTGTCCCAGGAATAATCGTTTTTTTCTGGCACATATGGAAAACCACCTCTGTGGAACATTATGAATTTCTGGGATCCCAGGGAGCCTTACTGCAACATACCTGCTGTGTTTTCCTCTAACGGAAAGCATTGCCATAATCATCAGACCACCAAGAGAAAATGGAATTTTTTGTTTTCATTAATGTTGCTCATAACACATCTAGACCTTCACAGCTAGTAGTCTGGTCATTTTCCCCTTCAAACACGTCCCAGTGGACAAGCAAAACTCATTTAAAGATTAAGTGAAATGTCTCACCAGTAATGACCCGTGCAGCTGCAGGTAAAAATTGCACAGCTTTCAACTGCTACGATCTAAAAAAACCCAAAGGGATCTAACCAGGTATTGAACTACTTGGTTTGGAATTGTATTGAATGAAGAGACTGGTTAGGAGGAACAACAGCAGAAACCACAAGCACAGCTGCAGTTTTACCACCACATTCTGGGCCAGCTAGCCCTTGTTTATGCCACAGTATTTTTTAGGATCACATAAGCTAGGTAAAAAAAGGGCATAGGCTGTTTCCTCCTGAAATGTTGGCTGATGAATACTTCAGTGAAGAAAGATAAATACATTACTCTTTCATTATGCTTTAAAAATGGTCAACCCTCAAATGTAGCCATCAATGCTGCTTTTGAAACAGCAAGTTTTCAGAAAAACACAAACCTAGAGGAGAGACCACAAAGAAGAGTTAAGATAACTGATGAACAGATTTAAAAGCAGGAAGGTAGTAAAAAGTATACATGTACAAACAAAAAATAAACAATCACTGAAATTCATTGCTTCTTTACATGGAAAAAAATAATGAGATTCGGAGCAGAATGAGTAGCACAGAATACCTTAAAAATGGATTATAACTGCATAGTACACAGTATTGCACTAACAATTAGTTTTGACTGTGACCAAAATGTGGCTGTCAAGGGAGTAGGGGAAGTGTGGAAATAGAGATGACTGACTGCTTCTCATATATTTGTTTTTTTATAAACTGCCCTGGACCTTCCACAGGCCCAGTTTTGGTAATTTTGGTAAAGGCTCAATTTTGGGTAAGTTCAGGAGCTTTTAATGGCACTGGGGTTTTGAACAATTAAAAAAGCAAAATAATTCACTATGTGAGCAAGACTTAGGATATCTGCCATGATTAAGACAACAAATAATTTTCTGTTTACTTCTTTGTCTATTATACTCAACTTCTTGATTCTAACCAAGAGTTGTAAAGAAAGATAATTGAGATGACTGAGTGAGAAAAATCATTTTTATTTCTTGAGCTTAATGGTGCAGAACATTCTGGGGCAGTGACAATGGTAAGAAACTACACTCATAATTTTTACACTGTTTTCACTCTCCTCTAAGCAGTCAAATACAAGTATTTCACTGAACCAGTCTTGACATCTTTTGCAACCTTTACTGAACTACTGGTGTCAAAAGCTTTCAAAAACATGCTCTCCTGCGAGCAGCAGCTGGTTACCTACAACCTGTACTTAATACATTTATTTCAATTAGGTAACTATTTCAAGCTGCCTTGCCTAATCCCAAAATAAAGGCTATATCTATGAATCACCTCTTTCAAGAGAGCTCATTTCAGTGTTAGGTTTGACGCAGTGTGAGACCTGTCTTGCTAGAAGACTCAGAAGTTCTGAATAATTCAGTGTTTTCTTTTAAATCATTCAAGTGCATTTTTGACTATCTATGGAGAATCCAAACTTCTGATGAATCAGCTCAGGCATGCTACTTTGATTTCAGCACAGTTTATCAGCTCAGGCAAAACTTGTCGTAGTGGACAAACTGCTCTTAGGGCTATTATGATCAAGAAACAGAAGCAGCTATACATTTTTTTTTGGTGCACTGAGAGCAACCTGGGCAACTGAGCCCTAGAATCCTACTTTATTTCTGTGGAAAAGCCTGGGTATTTCAAGAAGGGAGAAACACCTCTGTTCCCCATTAGACACTGTCCAAGAGCCTTTCAGATGGCCAGGAGCATTTGCATGAGCAGCATCAAGTCACCAGAAAAGCCACCACGCCAGAGTAGCATCGTAGATTCTGCCTCAGCAGTGCTAAGGGCACAGGGCAGTGAATCCCAAGAAGAGTTATCTGAATGCTGTATCTTCCCCCTCCCATTTTTCCACATTCAAAACTGGCCTGAATGAAACTTCATGCCTCAGGGAAATCAATTTTGCACTTGCATTCTGACTGCTCCTAAAGGCCTATTTTTTCATAATACACCTAGCCCACAATGGCATGAAAAATAGTTCTTGAGCTAGTACATTTCAATGCTCTTACAACTGATTACAAACCATCTGAGTAATGCTGCCCAGAATTTCAGCGAAGAAACTACAATAAGGCAAAAAACCCATTATAGTATACCTTAATTGAATAAAAGCTGGCTATGTAAAAATGTTCATCATGTAAACTATAAGGGAATGATCCTTGCTAAACAAGATTTACAGTGGTGTCCTCAGATGTCAGTTCTCAGTCATTCTGTCCCTAGGAGATGGAAGAGCAAGTGAAGTCATCACTTATTACTCTGCAGGTAACAAAAATAACAAATAATAATAAAAAAAAAAACCTGAACATGTTTTATCGTTAACACACAGTCATCAGAACAAAATTAGTGCTAGTGGCTGAAAGACTCTAGCATATGTAAACCAGTAGGAAAAGACTTGTTTTCAAATTGTATGTACTCTCTGCAATGACTTACAAATATATGCCACAGTTTCTACATATCTGAACATTTAAATGAACATGTTTACAACAAAGACATTTAAGGATATACACATACAGATGTAAACACACGTATATGTACACACATATATACTAATTATATACACACATGGATACATAACAAAGGGGCATTTATACGATCTTATGTAAGTATGTCAAACAGGCATAAATGCAGATGTCTAAAGCCTCCTTTATGTAGAACAGACATGATCATCTTTCTGTCCTTTCAGATAGCCATGGGCAGAGCAAGATGAAATGCTCCAAACTGTTGCAGCAACAAGGATGCAAGATTATGAGACACAGCATGAAAAGCTTTTATTTTGAGAATGTAAAGCAAATACTGCAGTTCAGGAACTACACACAGAAAAAAACAGCAAGATTTAATTAAAACCTGCATCTGATAAACTGGAAGTATATTTAAATGCAACACTATTGTATTGGATCTGGCTGAGCTGGAGTTAATTCTTCCCCACAGCAGCCTTCACAGTGATGTGTTTTGATGTGTTTTGGTAGCTAGCAAGGTGTTGTTTAACATGCCAGTGTTTTGGCTACTGCTGAGCAGTGCCTGCACAACATCAAGGCTGTCTGTCCAACATTCCCCCTTAACAGTAGGCTAAGGGTGGGCAAGATCTTCAGAGAGGACACAGCCAGGACAGCTGACCAAAGCTACCAAAGGGATATTTCATATCACGATGTCTGCTCAGCATATAAAGCTAAGAGAAAGGGGATAACGGGTCATTCGTTATGATGACATTTGTCTTGTGAAGCAATCACTACACTACGCATACTGACACCCTACTTCCAGGAAAGTGGCTGGAGATTGCCAGCTGATGGGAAGTAGAGAATAAATCTTTTGTTTTTCTTTGCTTTCATGCATAACCTTTGCTTTTGCTTTATTAAGATGCTTTTATCATGAACCACAATTTTTTTTCCATCTTATTTTCTGCCCCCTGCCCAGCTGAGGAGGGGAGCGACAGAGCAGCCTGGTGGGCACCTGACATCCAACATCAAACCACCACAACTAATTACATACTTCATCATTTGACAGGCAGATGTTAAGTACAGCAATCAAAACCGAAAGCAACATTAGCTGCCACTGGTGCTCTTCTGCTGGACCATAGTTCCTCTCCAAGAAGAGAGATTATACAGTCTGATCAACCTGTAACAATACTTTTCTATCACATATGGATTATTTCAAGGCTCCAACAAAACTACTTCCAGACATATAAACCCAAGAAACTACAAGTAAAATCTACTCAGTTTTAATTAGGACACTCAAGATGTAAATGGATTTTAAGAGGCCACAATGGGAACCATTTTATGTTGCTGTATTTTTCATATTAAACTATTCAAACAGTACATTGTGACATTTAAGATACAATAGAAAGAACACAGAAAAAACTGCTGGGAAAAGAAATTACTAGAAATTCTGTGCTTTCACAGTTTTACTTCTGTCGGAACTTTTTAAGTGTCTGTTTTCTTGCAGGACAAGATTGCAACATTTTCTTTATTAAAATTGTTGGTTGGTAGATAGAAGGAAGATAAAACTTCTGATGAATGTTTGTTGTATGCTTAAAATATTACTCAAATCATCTCCAAAAACATGCAGACAATATTTGAAATGCTAAATTAATATTTTTGTTTTGTTTTGTTTTTTTTCTGTGGAAAATACATTATGCTATACCTATTAGCTGTAACCTACAGCACTAGTTACCTTTTTGGTAAATACTTAAAAGTTAAATTGTGATTATGCAACCTGACCTGAAAATATAAATTAAAATTGTTCCACAGAGCAGAGTAAATCACAAGCTTTGCAGGGTCAGCAAAATCTCTTTTTTATTGAAAACCTGGAAAAAACTTACAAAATTACCTGACAGACCATTCATTTCCACCTTCTTTCACTCTCTTCACTCTAGTTCCCTACACTTATTCTAGTGGCATTGAAAGGTTCCCTCTGCCCTCGTTTTGAAAGGCAAGTCTACCACCAAACCACTTGACAGAAAACGTTCTTCAGCTTACTCTTTACCCAGTTTCTTTCCAGACACCTGGTAGAACACTTCTTCATACACTAAAAGCAGCCAGCTATACAAGAAACCTAGATTTATTGGTATCCAATTGTACCCTGCCTTCTACAGCTTCTGTCTCCTCCTCGGAGACAGTTAATCATGAAGAATAAGAAAACACATATTTTTCTCCACTTTACAGAGTAGTTAGTTAAAAAGAAAACTAACACCTTTAAGTGTGGAAAACCCAGAATGTTATGCAGTTCTTCTTCATTCTAAATTTTTCTAATTTATCAAAAAATTGTGACACAGGAAAGGGTTTATGTAGAAGCAAATAACACATGAAAACTTAGCTAAAATAACAAAGGCAAACTGTAACTCTTACCAGTAATTTTCAGTAGAACTGGGTTCATTACATCCAAAGAGCAACATGTGATGGACAGTGTCCATGCTGGCATGAGGCTTAAAGTCAACTGAAAAACAAAATGGTAATAACAAATAATCTATCCTTATTTTCACCAGAAGTGACATAAGCAAGAGCATTTTGTACCATTTTTTCTCTGTAATACTAGAAATAGGCATGCATGTGCCCACGCATTCATTTACCTTCTGCTTTTCACTTACAAGCTGTCCTTATATTCCCATTCAACAGCTTGTCTCCCAAGCTAAAACAGTAACAGTTTTGGTATTGATACCAATCTAAATAAAATCTGATTTACTTTCCTGATCAAGTACTACTTTAACTTAGGAACTCCAGGAGAAACATAAATGAAGAGAACATGGCATCAGTTTAATATTAACAGTGTCTAGTTAAGCAATGTATTAAAAAAAAAAACTATTCTAAGTTCATCTTCATGAATAACAACGCAATGATATAGTTAATACTCTTTCTTTCCTATAAAGGAATGAACTTCGAAGAAATTTATCAACATAACAGTGTCCACAGTTTGGCAGATTAAGGAAACATTAGAGGCCTTCAACACAGTGAAATTGTCATTACTTGGTAACAGGGAAGTTAATATATGCCATATTAGAGTAACAAACCCATAGTGTCTCAGAGTCACGTACGGACAAAAAAAGTAATAAATCATCTAATTATTTCAATTTGTGTTGCTGAACTTAATAGGCTCCATCTCATTCATACACCACAATCTGATAGATAGGGACTCACTATGAGTCAGTAAGAAAAAGATACATTTATTTACTAGTCACCCATGTGAATGAACATGAGGGTGAAGATGACAAACTGGGTGTTATACTTACAAACTTGATATTTCTTGGCTGAGTGGCTTGCTGTTAGACTCAATTCTTGTAAGTGTCTGGAATTCCAGAACACCCTTTATCTACCAATACAGCTCACCATAGTGAAAAAATTATTTTTTATCAACACCTGCACCATTAAAGACTCAATCTAGTTTCTAGTTTGGCTACTCATTCATAAACATTAATCAAGCAAAAGGTGGAAGACCAAAACCACAATATGTTTTTAAAATGTAACTGGAATGGCATTTTCTTGAAAAATTATATATTAATCTCACTCATCAAGCTCATTTAAACATTAATCTCACAGCCATTTCATTTCGTAGAAGCAAAAGGTATGTTGCTAAAATTAACCTTTGGCTGTAAACAATGCTATCATGGGCAAACTTTATGTTCACAGAACAGGTTTTGATTTTATTGTTTTTTTAAATTTGCTCATCAAGCAATCAAATTTTATTATACTTTCTAATGACATGTACTCAAGCACAGTGATCACTGGGAAGGTTACCAAATCCTATGAAAATCTGGTGCAGAACATGTAAACACTTAAACCCTAAAGGTTTCCCAGTCTTCAGAGAAAAAATAGGCTGCCTTGCATGATTCACATTGAGACTGCATAAATACCACTTTTACGCAAATTCTTTTAGTAGGTCCTTCTAAACACATACACCACTGAAAATTTATGTGGCTTTAACACATGTAAACACGAAATGACAGAACTAAATGTGCAGGAATCTAATAAGAAATAGAACTATGCAAGTTTGCAACTCAGTGAAGTACTAAATAAAAAGTGCTTACCCAGCAGGTTAGTAGTGTATCTATGAATCACATGAAAGCAGAACAGTCTATTGCACACATTGCACAGCAGATATAGTTTTTAGACAATGAACACTCACTCTCTTTTAATGCTCATGTTCCTTTCTGGTATCAAACTCACAGCCAAGATAGCAGGTCAGATTCTGACTTCTTTACAAAATAAATACAGAGGAAGCACCGAGGAAAATTTACTCAATTTTTTTAGATACTATAATACATGAAAATCTAAACACAACATTCTGTTTCTGAAGGATTTCCAAAAGGAAATCCATAGGGGACAATAGTCTCACAACACACTACAACAAAAACTACATAGGATTCCCACCATATTTCTTGTAAGTGGAGATATTCTAAAACACAACAAGAGAGTAAAGGAGGAAAGATACAGACATTTTAACTCCTCATTGTATTATTTTAGTTTCTAGCATGTTCTGATGGTGAAGCTATGTTCAGTTACACCAAAAAGCCTTCTCTCTACCTGAACAACTAACTGTATGCTCATGAGCAAGACAAAACAGAAGTACCTTTGAGGTACTTTGACTTGCCAAACAGATGGTGTTGTTTGCTGATCTATATGATCAGAGCATTTGCATGCTATTACAATAGCGTTTCCTTCTATTTGTGCACCATGACATTAAAAGAAAGCCAATGGAGGGGAGAGGATTTGGCTGGCTTTGTTTATTCCCTCAGATAAGTAAAATCTTACTGCAGCCAACACTGACTGTAAGTGCAAAGGATTTGCAGCCTGTACCAGGAGGTAAATAAACGGTCTGCTCACTGGAGCAGAATTAAGTATCCAGCTAGAGACAGAAAGCCAATATTTTACAAATGGGACTGTTTGGTACTGATTGCCAAAGGCATCTGCATGCAGTTTCTTAACTACTGTTACTCATGAATCTCTCCAGAAACAGTGTGTTATCTTGACTCTAAGTAGGTGTCTCTAGCTTGTTTGTGCTTTAGCTATGATGAAAGCATTCTGGAAACTCGTGGCAGGCAAAGATTAAGTCAATGTAATTCAAACAAAAAAAGTAACAGAAAATGCTGAGGTTCTTCAAAACAGCTTGCTTAGGTTTTTCCAGTCAACCAAAACTCACCTACATAAGCTTCATCATCCACTGGCAGGGGAACTGACATGCAGAGGTAGGTATCGGACTATTAAAAGACCAAAGAACAGATATTACCTTTAAATTTGGAATATTTAGAATGAAAGAAATGGAAACAAAGCATCGAAATTCACTATGCTTTCTGAAGATGAATGAGGGACTACTGAACAAACTAATACATAATGATTATCTATTTATAAGCCTTAGCACTGAACTAATTTGCAGTGGTTTACAAACACTGCCCACTCCCCACATGCTAAATATTTGGGGTTTCTTTTCCCTCCTCCTCCTGTTTGAAAACATGTACATGTTTCCTTCATGAACCAGGTATATATTTTTACATAGTTTAAGCTGTATGTTAGCTGTATGCCCCTACTTTAAAAGAATTAAATGATTCCTGTAGTAATCATTCCAGAACAACAATGTGAATGCTCATAATCTAGGTACAACCTTACTGGTATTACCAAAATTTATCTCAATTTCATGGAACACATGCAGATGGTTAGACTTCTTAGTATTCAAAGAGAATGATTTTCAGTATCTGTTTTCCACAAGAATTACCCGGGAAGCTAAAGCATCGAGGACCTTGGAAAAGTAAATTAAATACAATTGCCTACAGTGATGCTATGGAAGAACTCAACTCAGCAGCAGTACTATTTCAGAAGTTCCCTTTCTTTTTCTAGCTTGGAGACATTCTTTGACTAAACAACCAATGGCTTCAGAGCCCCCAGAAAAATTCTTACATTAGATAAATCTGCTGACTGTACCTCTACCACAGGTCACACAGCTCATAAATTGTAAACGAAAGACCTGGTTAGTTCTGTTACACATCTTTCTGTTAGCTTGCTATGATTCTCAATAAAAAATGTGACTGTCAGGTGTGCATACCACCAAGGAATCTGAAGTGACCAACTCCTTCATACCTGTTTCCTAGTTCAACTAATGGCTCCTCGGGTAAAATCAATAAAACAATTACAAACATGCACGTGGATGAACTGAGAGTACTTCTCACTCTTTCTGAATTATAAGTTTAATACTTTGCTGGAGACAAATAAGATCTAGTAGAAACTATATTTGTGTTTTACACTCACCGGAATGACACTATAAATTACAAGTTCCAGAGGGCTGCTCCCCAAGAACAGAAAACCTCATTTTCCCTTCAGTATTTTTAAAAGTGTTATCTGCAACAATGAATCACCATCTACTGCAGCACAATATCCTGCTCTTTACAAGCATCTGCAGCCCTCTGGAAGAGACACAGGGGCTCTTAATGATATATGTAACTCCCTGCATTGCTTCCCTGCAAAAAAAAAAATCTTTAATAATAATTGTTTATCTTGCTTAATGAAACTACATGTGAAGATGACAGTAGAATCTCAGACTTTTAGGTGAATCTTAAAAATGCTAATGTTAAAAATCTTAACTATTGTCTTCATTTTCACTCACTCGGCTCAGTAGAAGCAATTTCTAACGTGAGAGAATATACTATTATGACTTGTTTATAGTAGCTTTCCTGGAGTATTTTAGGGGCTTGAAATACTGGGTCAAAAGTGTTACCCTTATGAAATACTTTCCGGTTGTCTTCTGCGCTTGCCAAAGTTGCAGCAGTGTTAATTTTAACTGAACTCATTTCACTAAGGCCTCATTTGAGATTCAGTGTAAACTGCAACTCCAAATAAATGTATGACTTACTAGCGCAGCTGGCAATATTTCACTTTAATAAAACTCATATTCCTAGTTTTAATAAACTTCAGCATTTCAGCTTATGAAACCAAAATTTCAAAAATACAATTAATCACATGCAAAGATTTTTCTCTCATTTGAGATTACTTTTCTGTTTCTTACTTTTTTCTGGACATACATACATGTCTATAAACGTTACCTTGCTGGTGGGTTTTTATTCATTTTATGTGAATTATACTGTAGGCAAGGCTTTATTTTCCAAGGTTATATATAAAAAAAAAGTAAGTACAAAAAAGAAAAACTGCATTTCTCTCACCTGCTTAGGTGTCACACCAGGCATGCGAATGTCCAATGCAAAATCTGACAGACCAAGTGAAATTACTGGCTGGTCACTTCCAAGGCATTCACTGGAAAAAGATCTGGTAGTGTCTTTGTACCTTAAAATGAAGGAGGAAAGACTTTTAAAAATATTGACTTTTGTTATGTCTTTCTAAAAAGCAGGGTCTTGAGAACTAGCAGGGAAGTTTGACAATGCTAAGGAGCTCCAGGAGTAATGTGGAAATTTCACTCCTTCACGAGCTTAAGTTACCAAGCATTTACTGAGACAGTTCCTCTGAGCAATCACACAGACTAGTTGGGAAAACATTAGCTAAAATGTAGCCTGTCATCTCATCTAAGAAGTTGTCTGAGGTACACTGATGTACAGATAGAGAATTAATTCACTGGAAAATTTCAAGTACTGTTAATCATTCACAAGTTTGGTTTGGTCTTTTTTTTTTAAGACTATGTGCCTGATGTGTAATGCAATACAGATTAAATTATGTGTAAAGGGGAAATTTTTAATTCCAACACCACAACATATATAGCAACTCCTATTACAAGCAGAGAAGTAAACCAATAAGTTTTACAACTTTACGTGAATATCAAAGTCTGTACTGAATGAAATGTATAAACAAATTGTAAAAAAAAAATAGGTCACAGTAAGGAACTAAATGGTAAGACATCTGAAACACAATGCAACGTTGATATGAATTTGAAATATGCATATTCATGTGTGTATATATATATATATATAAAGATACAGAAGTGACGTGATAACTACAGTGCCCAATATGCCTCAAAAAGAGTAGAACACTTTTCTGGAGAGCTAAGAGACTACAACTTCTCTTGTCCAAACTATATTCAAGTTTACCTATGCAATTCTGCATACAACTCCCCCTGCCCCAGCTCCCAGGATTGCCCAGTTTTAACCTAGATGATGCTTTCTCGTTAAAATATCATTTTATACTGGAAGCTAACTTAAGCAGTTGAAATATATTTACACCCAGTGTAGTCTAAAATACACCTGTGGTGTTACCTAAAAATTTTCACTATTTGTTCTTTTATCATCCTAAACTCATATTTTATAAAGCAACCTATGAATAAAACAAGACTTTCTGCCTTCAGTATGACAACAGTGCCATTTCAAAACTGCAGAAAATAAATTCAGAGCAACTAAGCAAAACCAAACAAACACCATACGTGTTTTTATCTAGGACATGCTTTTTCACATATCCATAATATAGTGACTGCACACATTTAACACATACGGTCTTTCTGTATAACCCACCTCTTGAAGACAGAAAGTGGGCTTCTGAAACCCAAACAGGTGTTTTGAAAAACAAAAAACAGTACTAGCAGGTTTTTAAAGAGGCCAGCCATGACCACCCTGCTGCTCTTGGCCTGATTAAGAGAGCAGAAAAAGGGCAGCACAGTTCTGTCGGCTGTGATCCTGACAATTAGGCTGCAGCAGCAGTATCAATTCACTACTTCATTATTATGTGCTCTGCGGGCATCCTCCAGCTTCTGACAGACCATCTGTCTTGGAAGGTGATACACAGTAAACCAGGAAGGTGGATGATGCTATGTTGTCTCTATTATTAGCTGTAAAATTCTGTTGAAGGATCTTCCCTTGCAGATAGATGACACTGTACTTCTGTCCACTTAGGCAGCTGAAAAGAAGTAGCACTCCTACTGCTTTCTCCCCAGGTTGTGCAATTAAATCTGCATGTTACTTATCAATCCACAGTGCTGCAACTGGCATCACAGAAACTGTGGGGGTTGGAATTCCATCCTCACAAGAAACCAGCATCAATCATCCTTCAGAACCTGTAAAAATAGAAGCAGATAAAGGATGAGTAATGCATTACAGCATTAGCTCTCACCAAATCCCTGTTGTGGCATTTTAAATTCATTAAAGGAAGTTGTTTCACAAGCTTTATTTAGTCCAACCTAGCAAAGACTGCATCAAGTCTGTTGATTCCTCCTCATCCATATAGGATCAGAAGATGACACATTTCATATTGAGATACAAAACACACTCTCAAACACATTTTACACGACCAGAAAAAATATAACCCCCTTCCTCCCTCAATACGTAAAAAGCATAGCATGGACTATTTCACACATACAAACACTACCATAATGTATTCTACAAGCAGCAAAAAAAGGCCAAGAGCTGACATGGCAAGAACCAAGGTTTCTAAATTTTATCAACTATCACTAAACGTTTCTGCACATACTGTGGGCTGGGAGAATATTTTACTGTTAATGCAACCTGCAATACACCATTATGTCACCTGTTTCTTATGTACTTCAGTTACTTTTCATATCCATTTCGGAAAATTGATTCTACAAATTATTTTTGGAAATACTGCAACAAGAACTATTGAGATCAGACTCCTTCATATCCTTTCATAAATTAAGGTTATATCAACATAAACTATTACTCTCCTCATCACTTAAGCTTCAACTGTTCTTACTTACACATTTCAGTTTACACAATATTTTAATTTTAAACTTTTGAGTGTTTTCATAAGTATGCTGGAAAATCACACTGTGTTACTGAAGACAAACAGTAGCATTTTTATTGAGCGTTCCAATTCTGGCAGAAGTAAAAGTTCAAGTCATAATAAAAATCAAAGTCTTTAAAATGTATTATGTACTAATTCTTTTAAGATAAATATTAATAGGAACAAAACACCCAAGCCCAACTATATTCCAGCCCCTGGAAGATATAGTCAAAATACTGCTATAATGACAAAATAGAAAAGGCGGCTTCTGACAGGAAACACAATTGAAATTCATGTGTTTTGAAAATTCCTTCTATTTTAGGGCAGACATGCAAAAAAACTTATTATGAAAAAAAGGGCTTCTGCATAAACTAAGAAGCCATGCTCCCTGCTGTTTAGCACCTACACTAGATCAGCACTGAACTATTTGTTAGTTTTTAAAATCTGATTACATTAATCATCATTAAACTTGCATATTTTATTAACTGAAGGATAAGAAAAAGATTCAGTCATAAACAACTAAAAATAGATTTCATCTTACTTTCAGCTTGCCAAAAACATGCCAGAGCTGTCCAGAATCATTCATGAAAGCTATGGTACAAGCTTATTTTAATGTAAATTTCCGTGTCTTCAGTTCTGTAGCCTACATCATTTTCACTAGTGAACTACGGAAAGCTGCAACACATATAATGGACTGTACCATGACGAAAAACAAAAATAATTAAAAAAATATAAAAAAGGCAAGTGTGATATGCTTCACATAAAGGCATCTATAAAAACAGAAGGCTTCATTAGTCTTAGTCTTTTAAGCATAATTACACAACAGTTAACTGTTCAGCATCTTTGTAATTCACATGGTTGGAAGTTCTAGTACTGTTAAAATTTGTATTATGTAAGAAATTAGGCCATACTCTAAATACACTTGACAAGCACAAACTCTGAAGAACACATGCAGGAGTAATAGACTGGATCTTAACATGCACAGATTTGCAATGCTCTGACTACACAGATCAGAAATAAAAGCAAACACTTATTCTTGCAAGCTTCAGACGGATCAGAAATAAAACCAAACACTCATTCTTGCAAGCTTCAGGAAGTTTGAGATTGGTAACGTCAGACAAACATCTACCTGGTACATGAATTAATAAAAGAAAGCTACAGAGAAAACTGGTTATCTGAAATATGAAGATTTCTTTACAGCAGCATTCAATTATCACTGCAGTAATAGCAGAAATAAGCAGGACATGTTGTACCACCAAAACATGTGTCTTAATGCTACAGAGGAATATCTGATGATTCATGGCTTTTAGAATGCTGTCCACAAGAAAGAAAAAGAGAAACAAATACTCTGGAATTCTCTAAAAGAGCAAAGAAATTAAATATGTAGTGAGATCAATACATGTATGGATAACATCTGTACATTCTACTTTAAAAATGGGCCAAATTTCATCTACAAGCTCAGGTTTTAACTACAGTTTCACTGGCTGTATGGATATGAATAGATAAAAGTGTAGTGCAATTGACATTTAGTATTAGACCCCTGGACAACCAAATTTTACATTTGGAAGGAAATGAGAAAAAAGGAAAAAACAAACCAGGAAGCAATATCCTGAAGAGTATTCAATGTCATTTTAGATATGATGCAATACACAAGAATACTAGACAACAAGGGAATAAAATGAGGATGAAAGATTCAATAATAAGATTACTCAGTTACTTAGGTTCATTATGTAAGACATAATTACCGATATAAAGTGAATGGAAAGAAATGGAGATGAAAATCAGATTGGGCAACATAAGCATGTTATTTTAGCCCATCCAGACGTACCAGAAAACAATATAAAACAGTAATATAAAGAAAAACAAGAACTAGCATGAAGATGTCTCACTGAATAGGCTGAGGGGAAAAAAAAAAGAAAAAGTGGCCAAGAAACTGGAATTCAAAATACAATTTAAAATAGTACATAAATACAGCAACGCTATTTCAACATGATGTTATACAAACTGATCAATTTCTACAAATCAACTACAGAAAAAGAAAGCTCTTTATTAACCACAAGTTCATACAGCAATTATATCTTCTTTTTTTCAGTTTAGTCACCTAATATTTTACACATAGTACCTAGAGAACAAGCAAGATGCAGAAACCTCACCTTCAACCACCACTTCCTTCAAAAAAAAAAAAAAAAAGGTCAAAGCTTATGGAAATTGATATAAAAGTCTACCACAGATAACGTAATTTCTCATAGCTGAATCACTTTTCTGATTTCTTATGCACTGAAATAATGGAATTAAGCAAGGATTATTTGAGTTCTGTCTCCAGCTAGACTATAGAGTGAATGCTAGAGCATTTTGTCACAACCAAACTTGAAGCTTAAGCAACAACTGGGTATACAAACAATAGTCAGTTCCACAAATGAACTGCAGGTAGGCCTGTGATTTGAAACACTTATCTTCTAATAGCACAGGAAAATCAATACTTTGTGGGATCAGCTTAAAGATTCATTAATGCATTTAATGTACAGCCACTTATGATACTTTAGTCATACACATGCAAAAAGTGTTTGGGCAAGAAGCTGTCATATTAGACAACCTCCTGAACCACAGCATCAATAAAAAACATCTCACAAACCAGCTGAGGTATCTAGGAGTTGCTACTGCAATTATCAGAAACACAAGATGTGTAATTCTGATGACACCAAGCTGGTAGGAGCGACTGATACACCAGGGAGTTGTACCGCCATCCAGAGGGACCTCAGCAGGAGGGATAAATGGACTGACAGGAGCCTCAGGCTCTTCAACAAGGGGAAGTGCAAAGATCTGCATCAGGGGAGGAACAAGCCCAGGCACTAGAACATGCTGGGTGCAGCCCAGCTGAAAAGCAGCTTGGCAGAAATGGATCTGGGGGGTCCTGATGGACACCAGGCTGAAGATGAGCCAGCAATGTGCCCTTGCTGCAATAAAACCCTAAGAGTGTCCTCAGCCAAACCACTGCCAGCAGGTCAGGGGAGGTGATTCTTCCCTTGTACTCGGCGCTGGTGAGGCCATGCCTGAAGTGCTGGGTCCAGGGCTGGGCTCCCTAGTACAAGAGAGACATGGATGCATTGGAGAGTCCAAGGAAGGGCCATCAAGATGATGAGAGGACTGAAGCATCTCTCATAAGAGGAAAGGGTGAGGCAGATGGAAATGTTCAGCCTGGAGATGAAAAGGCTCCAGGGAAAATCTCATCAATGTATATAAACATCTGAGAGGAGAATGCAAAGAGGATGAAGCCAGGTAACAGATTGTTTAATAACATTATCAATGACCCAGATAAGGTGATCGAGTGCATCCTCAGTAAATCTGCAGATGACTTTAAGTTGGGCAGAGTGTTGATCTGCTGGAGGATAGGAAGGCTCTGCACAGACATCTGAATAGGCTGGGCTGAAGGTCCAAGGCCAACCGTAAGAAGTTCAACAATGCAAAGTGACACTACAACCCCATGCAATGCTCCAGGCTTGAGTAAGAGCAGCTGGAAAGCTACTCGGTGGAAAAGAACCTGGGGGTGTTGACTGACAGCTGCTGAACATGAGACAGCTTGTGCCCATGCAGGCAAGATGGCCAATGGCATCCTGGCCTGTATCAGCAACAGTGTGGCCAGCAGGGCCAGGGCAGTGATCATCCCTCTGTACTGGGCGCTGGTGAGGACTCACCTCGAATCCTGTGTTCAGTTCTGGGCCCCTCACTACAAGAGAGACATTGAGGTGCTGGAGAAGGGCCTGGAGCACAAGTCTGATAAGGAACAGCTGACAGAACTGGGGGATGTTTAGTTTGGAGAAGAGAAGGCTCTTCCCTGGAGAAAAAAACTATCTACAGCTACCTAAAAGGAGTTTATAGCAAGGCGGGTGTCAGTCTCTTCTCCTAAGTAATGAATGAAATGAATAATCTCAAGTTGTACCAGCCGAGGTTTAGACTTGATATAAGGAAAAATTTTCTTCACAGAAAGGACTTTCAAGCATTTGAACAGGCTGCCAAGGAAGCGATTGAGTCACCATCATTGGAGGTATTTAAAAGATGTGTAGATGTGGTGGTTAGGAACATGGTATACCAATGGACTTCTTCGTATGAAGTCAATGATTGGACTCAACAATTTTAAGGGTCTTTTTCAACCTAAACAATCCTATGATTGTATTCTGTGACAGGACCAGAGTCAGTGGGCACAAGCTGAAACACAGGTGGTTCCACCTTGGCACCAAGAAACGCTTCTTCATTATAAGGGA